CCAATATAAGAGTGTACACACATTTGTCCATGCAAAAATGAAAGAGCAGGCCTCGCTGTGCTGCAATTCAGGCCTCCATGATTGTCCCTTCCCAGAATTCCTGAAGAATCCCTACAAAAAGGCTGTTTCTATTTGAATTTACATTTGTGCCAGACTAGACAGAGGGATCAGATAAATCATGTAACCGTATTTTACTCTGAGGGAATTGCTTTTAGCATCTGTCATGTGCTAATGAATCAGAGCAGGAATAATGCTCTCTTTGTGTTGAGTCCTCAGCTTCAGTCAGTTACAGGAGCTCGTCTGATTGTAGGACCACACCCTTCACAACCACCATCAGGATCATACATTTTCCTAATCATTTTCCTAAGACCATATAACATTACCATGTCTGTTGACTTTGAACAAAAACGCCTTCAATGCAAGATGTAATTTTCTTAATCAATGTTTTTGTCTGTTTTAGTTTAATTATTTTCTTTAATTCAAGACATATGCTTCAACAAATTTAATTATATAAATAGTTTTTTAATATGATTTATAAAAAAGGGGAAAGATAGATAAAAGATGCATATACAAACAAATACAAAAAAATACATATATATATATAATTAAATTTGAATGAAAGGATTAATATAACATAATAATATGTCATTGGAGATATGTAGATAAATGATACATTTATCTTTCTTTAAAAACATTTCTTTCAAATATTTTTTACAGAAAATCTAGACAAAATACTGATTGGAAAATGATTGTTTGCAATGTCAGTGTTGTGAGTAAATGCAAATCCTGAAAATGTGGACATGCTTATTTATCTAGATTTAACTTTTTATTGTAATGTTAATGAAATGAGCTTACGTTTAGATTATTAAAAGACATATTAGATAAGCACATATAGCCTAGACAAGGCAGTATCATTCTTTAAAACTAACAAGCCTCTGGGTATCTGCATAAACCTGCTCACCCTTTGATGTTTTAGATATGATTTGAATTGAAAATTGCTCAACCATCTGGAACAGAAAGTTCTTCAACAGATCTCTTACTTGTATAAAATAACAGAAGAAAACTTAGACTTAAAAAAAAAAATGTTGTAAAGAAGAATGCCTATTCAAGGTCATGTTTAGTCAAGTCTTTCCAAGCTGGTGTAAGTTTGTGTGTAAAGATTTATGTCTTTAGAAGATTTTAATGTTATCCTCAAATTTCAAACCATTACAATGGGCCAATTCTGGTTTTGGAACGGTCTATTTGGAGGTCTATTTTTAGTCTATGTTTATATTAAGAGCATATTTTACAACCCTATCACCATCTTTTTCCTTCTGACCATACGTTTTTCCTTCTGTGTGTTTTATTCTGTCTCCATGGAGACTTCATGGTGGACCTGCAGCTGACGAGAGTGAGTCAGAATCGCCTCAACAATTAAAAAGGAAACGTTTATTCATAGTACAGTGGGAAAATGGGGAACCCCTGTTTGAAACATTTCTGTTTTAAGATTGACTCACGTGTGCGCTTCACCCATTAAATGGAAAGTTGAAGTCAAATTGACGTCAAAAGCAGTGAATCGGTGTATTGTGGAGCTGAATGGAGGATGAGGAGGCAGAGCTTGGGCTTTAGTGATAAGAATTTTTTCTGTATTTCAACCTAGTAAACTTTACTGTTCATTCAGCTTATCTGCTTTTCACCATGCTGAAATAAAGTTGTTGTCGTCAAGTTAGGAAGACAATTACTTTTAATATTGAGACGTTAAACAGATTCCCTAACGCATTCCTTGATGTTATACTTACACAGACATACAGGCTTAAACTTTGTCCAGTTATAAAACCATAAAATGGTAATAAAACGCCTGACTGAAGATACCTACTATGTATTTGCATACCTAAACATTGCTGGTATTCTGTGCATATATATTGAACCTAGCTAATATAGATTGTAGTAAGTTCTTTTGTTTGAGCTAAAAAAAATTTTTTTTGATTTGACACGCCCTCCAGCCTTTTATAACATTGATGAAGTGTTGTCAGACTGTGGTTTTACTATGTACTTTTTATGGTTTTACAAGTGCTCTAATGAACGCCTATGGTCATTTTTCCTCTCAAAACCTCCAGCTGTTGCAGGTGAAGGCTGTCTGTTATAATGGTGCTTTTTGTGAGATGCGTCAAGCTGTAGTTTTAGAAGTAAATATAGGTTTAAAGAGACACTTCAATGACCAAAATTCAGAGAATGTCCTTGTAGACTTTCAGTCAGGGCATTTACTTTTAGTCAAGTGGTTTAGTCAGGGCATTTACTTTGCCCTAAGGGTGTTTGTGTTGTTTGCGTGCAAGTCCACAGCTAAGTTGTGTGGTTTTGGACTTAAAAGTACACTATAAGGAATTTCTATCAATTTTATTAATTCTTATTCTGTGGAAAATGTGTATCTGCGTTTGACTGTAAGCTTTCAAATTGAGGGTTTTGACTCCAGTGGGTTTTTTTTTTTTTTTTTTTTGGGTATACCCTGTTCATGGTCAGCATTTTCTCAAAGATGGCCACATGTGCCATATTTCCACACCACTTTGCCATGGTAACTCTACAGCAAACATTTAGAGGGCTTTTTTGTGGGTTTCTTTTTCGTCACAAAAGAGGACAAAGATAGCTGTGATTCATAGAGGAGCTGGTACATTCCTCTCCTCTCCTCCCCTCTCTCTCTCCCTCAACTGGCTCTTATTGTGCCTGAAATGTTTCCACTGTTTCCAAGATGCCAAGCCAAACCCTTTTCCCTTTTGTCTCACACACACATGGTACAACCCGACACACAAAATACACACTTTTTAATGAAAACTTACTGGAATTGATGCTTTTATTGAAGTGGTCCAGTTTTCCAACTGCCATAGTTTTATAGTATTTTTCTCAACGTATTAGCTGTAATACACTTTATTTTGCAGATGTTTTTCTTTAGCTGCCATCACGCAAAACTGAATTCATTCAGAATTGACTACTTGCAGTGTAACCTTTGACCAGGTTGGTCCAGTCAACAAGGACAATGTGACCAGGCCGGCACAGAGGTGACATTAACATATGTTCTTCTATTGTCTACTTTTAAAAGTGTCATGGGCTTCCTGTGGACAGATCCTGGAGATGTTAGGAACAAAAACAGGACACAAATACAGTGGCAGAAAAAAATTACATAAATATAAAAGATAATAGAATAAATAACAAACATATTCTTTAAAATTTTACACCACAGGAGGCTCTTAAACCTTGTTTCCTCCAAATGTGGCCTGCTTCACTGTGAATGTGAACAAAACAGGACATTTAGCGTGCTGACAGGAACGGGCTGGTTTTTAATTGCCAAATATTCTAAACCATAGAGGTTATGTTTCTGGATGTGCCCACCCACTGCTTGCACACCTTTACTGTAACCCACAGAGTCAGGCATTCACCGTCACCCCTCTGGACTCCAGTACATTCTCTCCTCTCTCTGTGTCTATTAAACATTTTAATGAGCAGTTCTAGGCAAAAGTTTTTCACATAAACACCATATCCCGCTGAGGAACAACGATTGTTTTTATTTCTGTAGAGTGAACAGCTAAAATACATAGTTGTGAGCTTTTTTCAATTTCAGTGACAAAATTCCTCAAAAATAGTGATGAATGTGGCCTCAAAAGCCTCTCTGACAAACATCTCGCATAAATCTTCCCTTCCATATATTTTTGCATAAAATATCAGTGGTGTAACTAGAATTTCAGTAACTGGTTTTTCAAAAATATTTTTCATTGAACTATTATTTTACAAGTACGTTGCTTTCACATACTCATACACATTTTCTTTAGCCTAATAATCATGTTCATGATTGAATAATCATTAAGTAGTAATGCAGATTAGGCCTCAAGAGGCTTTTTATCTCAGTCAGGGCAGTTAACTCAAATACATTTACATTTTTTCATGTTCCCAGGCTCATGAACCTTTTATTGAAAATATGTGGCTGTAAAGTGGAGAATGTGACCTAACAAAACCTCTGTTGTTGTGAATGGGAAGTTGTTTGAATAACGTCTCTCAGGAAGGAGGTGCGATGGAATGCGCCATAGAGTCGAAGAGAACAGAAAACAAACTCTAGAAGTTAATAGCTTTAGTAGGTTGAGTTTTAGACTAGTTGTAGTTGTAGTTTGAGTGTACAAAGTGGAGTTTTGAAGAAGTTGTGTGTGTGGGAAAGGTGCTTTAGGGACTGAAGTGTGGTAGAGTTTTAATTGTTTCAAGCCCTGGTTGGTCATCAATCACATGACTAAATTTGGAGCAGCTATTTTACAGGCCTTGTGAAATCTGATCTGGGAATGCGCAGAGAAGAACTCTAAACTTAAACACTTGTTTTGAGAGAGAACATTTTCTGGCCTTATTATCCTTCTGTGTTTTAAAACTGCAAACCTAAACCTCACTTTGCCTCAATTCAGTTCATACCATAATAAAATTACCAGTCATCTTTTATTTATTGAAGTGTTTACCATTCTGATTCTATTAAGGTTTGTGTGGTTCCTTTCTGAAACTTCGAAATGAACAACCCTGCAATCGTGCACATATGGTTTAAATTCACTGTTGGAGTCCCAACTCCTGCTCTGACTCAGAGAGGGTTTTTAAGGTTATTGTTTACAGATTTAAAAAAAACCTTCCTTTAGGTACAAAATACCAGGCAAAAGTTGTAGGCGGATGTTCATTTGCCTTGAACTGATTATTCCAGCCTTGCTACATTGCAAACATATTCAGTCAAGTTTATGGCTATAAATCAGATTCATATTTTACAGTCTTAGATCCGTTCTGACAGCCGACAAGATCCGATCCTCTCCTGAGGCGCTTAACTCGAGCCATGGTGCCACGCTAGTGAAGTTGCTTCCAATTTTCTGAAATAAGAGACTTTCCACTCAACCCGCAACATGCATGAATGCATATAATAATCCAACTATGCTGAATCTAATTGAGGTAATTGTATTCCTCTGTGTGTCTACATGAAAAAATGCTTTAATGTTGTATTTTTATGACTGTAGGAACGGTAAGAAAGAGGCAGATCTGGAATCGGCTCTAGCCAGGCTGAAGGATCTGGAAGCTCTGCTCAACTCCAAGGATGCGTCTCTCTCCACAGCACTGGGGGAGAAAAGATCACTGGAGGTTGAAGTCAGAGACCTGAAAGCCCAGCTGGCCAAGGTGATGACTACATCAAAGCTGCATATCTAAGGGTTTGGGTGGTGTGGTGCTTTGGTCAAAGATTTGGGTTATTGACCAAAAGGTTGCAAGTTTAAACCACAAAGATCAATTCATTATTAGGCGCTTGAGCAGTTTACTTTTAGCCCAGGTTGCTACTGAGGGATTATCTATGTAATACATACACTAAAATATGTTTTTAAAGGAATACTTGCTTGCTTTAAGGGAATATTATTTAAAGTTCTATTTCACATATATATTTATATTTAGAGGGAAAAATCACATTAAAAACAGGCATATTAATTTAATCAATCATTATTTTTAATCATTTTCCAGTAAATAAAATATAATTGTGTAAATATATAATATAAAAAAAGTTTAAAATAAATAAATATAAATGAGTGTAAAGACAAGTTACATGAGAAGCAAATTGTATTGTGTAATATATTAAGAATTGTTATCTGAGAATATATCTTGATTTAAGTGTATATTTCATACATTATTTTCAATTATTTTTGTTTTAAGCATAAACATCCCTAAATCATGGTAGATTTCTGCTTTTAAAAAGGAGAAAATACTTTGTCAAAATTAAATTCATATATATTTTCTCAAAACAATTTTTGTTTTGTCTGAAGTAAATGAATTTTGTTTAGATCAAGGGACCGGGGCCAATAGGGGGCCTCGACAAACTTCTTGGGGGCCCCAGTAAGTCTTAAAATTGAGCTAAATTAACATAATAAAAAAGAAAATAATAATACATAATAATAAAAAAGATGTACATTATTAAACTGACACTATATTTTTAAATTCTATTTTATTTATGGTTTTATTACAATAGAAGTTATATATCAGCTTAGATAAGGAGGGTCTTCGAATATTTTCTTAGTCAAAAGGAGTCAAAAGACCTACTGCATTAGATGTTGGTTAAATGTTTAGATATTTTTATATGACAAGACAAACATGGTAACAGGTTTTCAGTTAGTATTTTACATTAGTGCATTGCTTTTTATATAGAAGTTAGTAAAGTGAATATGTGTATTGCAGTTGGAGGGCAGTCATAGCGATGCTAAGAAGCAGCTACAAGATGAAATGCTACGACGTGTGGATGCTGAGAACCGAATCCAGACCCTGAAAGAGGAGCTGGAATTCCAGAAGAACATCTACTCTGAGGTCTCACGAACAAATCTACTTACTCTGAGCTCTCCTATGAAAATAATTACACTGTCTCATGCACATTTTTACTCACAACATCTTAGAATTCACTGCTAACATATCTACTAGTTCTAAAACTATCAAAGACCTTCAGGACTTTCTGTACTCTAACCTGATGTCTTTCTACAGGAGCTTCGTGAGTCTAAGCGCAGGTATGAGTCGCGTGTGGTGGAAATCGACAGTGGCCGGCAGCAGGATTTTGAGAGTAAACTGTCTGAAGCTTTGACTGAACTTCGTCGACAACACGAAGAGCAGCTTCGCATCTACAAGGAGGACATTGAGAAGACCTACAACTCCAAGGTAATAGAAAAATTAAAGAGAGAACCGCCAAATGACTATAGAATGAGGATCTGTATCTACCCAGGGGCACATTGTTAAACCATTGAACTGGCCCACCCTGCATACATATTTGCTGTCTGATCCGTTGCCAGTCGTATTTGTTGAGATAATTTTGTGTATAAAGACATACAGCATATCTGTCAGTTAAATGTCATCCTGTGTTATATGTGTAGCTGGAGAATGCTCGTCACTCGGCTGATAGGAACAGTAATTTGGTGGGAGCCGCCCATGAGGAACTGCAGCAGACACGTTTGAGGATTGAGGGTGTGACCTCTCAGCTCACTCAACTGCAGAAACAGGTACACACACACATTTTAAAGTCGGCATGAAACGGAAGTTCCAATAGTCTTTTCTTCCTTATTGTGACGTATATCCGAGTGAAATGACTTCTTAAAAGATAAAAGTAGGATGGGACTTTATTTTGTCCATCTAAAATTGATTGGATCATTGGATTGTTTTTTTTGCTATTGCTGTGATCTCATGTGAGTAACAGGTTGTCCCGCCCTCATGCCGCTGATGCCAGTAAAACGCATCATCAGAGAAGAGAAGTTGTTGCAGGAGGGAGGGGAAGCTAGTTTAATTAAAGATTACGAGCATACATTAATTAAAAAAAAAATTATGTGCATGGATAAATTATTTTTAATAACTACTGCAATATTCCATTAAAAATAAGAATTGTCAATTTTGATTTCATGGTGACTTTAAGTATTTATTAAAGTGCTGGCAATTCACACCTGTGCATATGGACAGTAACGCTCTAACAATAGAACTACCTGCTAATCACTTTTTAATGGAGAATAACTCCACCCTCTGAAATGATGTTGCTTACATACAGCAACTTGACGTTCATCCACCTAGCATGTAGTCTCACGGCAAAAGGACAACTTAACAGATCAAATAATAACCTAAATGTGTACATTCTAAATTTATTTAAATTGCCCGGTTCATTAGTTGGCTGCTCGTGAGGCGAAGATCCGTGAGTTGGAGGAGTCTCTATCCAGAGAGAGGGACATCATGCGGCGGCGTCTGGAGGAGAAGGATAAAGAGATGGCTGAAATGAGGCAGCGCATGCAGCAACAGTTGGACGAGTACCAGGAGCTGCTGGACATCAAGCTCGCACTCGACATGGAGATCAGCGCCTACCGGAAGCTTCTGGAGGGCGAGGAGGAGAGGTGAGAGATGGGATATTGCTTACTGCACATGCAGAAAGCCTTTTCTTCTTTTTTTTTTTACAGGTGCTACTAGTAAATAATAGAGCTGTAGATCTTTAGTAAAAAAAACTGAATAAGTATTGAAAAGTTGATTAAATTATTTTTCATATAATTTATTCAAATAGATTTTTCTGATTTTTTTGTATAATGTTTTTTATATTACATTTATATTAATAAAACCATTTTAATATTTTTATCTTACTTTAAGAAATTATCAATAGTGATAAAATACTATACTGATTATACTGATAGTATACTGAATCTAATTGATTGAATATAACTATATTTGCTGAGTAAATATTGTAAATAAGTTAATTCAGTAATTTATTTCCTATTTATTTTATAATTTTTTTAATAGCTTACTTTTTGCTGGATTGATTTTTCAGCTGTCTTGTTAATGTTTTTAATATTTAATAGATAGATATAAGAAAATGTTTATTTGAAAATATTATTGATCTAACTTAGATAAAAAATGATATTAATAAATACTATTTTTAGTTTGAATATTTTTTACATTTAAGACTAAAAGCATTAATAATATTCTGATTAATTAATCAGAGTAATTGCATGTATCGATATTTGCAGAGTAAAGCCCTCAAATGAAATAATAGGACTTGTTGTGAATGACCGCCTCATGGAATAACTCTCAACCCATCCCGCTCTCTCTGTTAAAGGCTGCGTCTCTCCCCGAGTCCCCCTCCTGTCCGTGGGGTGACCGTGACCCGCTCTTCTGGTTCTGGCTCTCACGCCCGTGTGGTCCAGAGCAGCACCAGTCGCACCTCTTCCGGCAGCGCTAAAAAACGGCGCTTGAATGATAATGACAGCGATGCCTCCAGCGTGGTCGGTGGAACTGTCACTCGCACACGCGTCTCCCAGCAGGCCTCTGCTAGTGGCCGCGTGACCGTGGACGAAGTTGACATGGAGGGCAAATACGTACGGCTCAGTAACAAGTCCGACCAGGTGAGAAGGAACTTTGGCGCTCAATAAAGAGGAATTAAGTATGATTTACTTTTTATTAAATGAATCTTCTTCCTCCTCCCAGGATCAAACTCTGGGTCACTGGCAGGTAAAGAGGCAGATTGGTTCCGGCACTCCCATCATCTACAAGTTCCCGCCAAAATTTAACCTGAAGGCGGGACAGACCGTCACAGTACGTATCGATTTTCAACGTAATGGTCACCTTTAGCTTGCATTTAAATTCCTGACTCACTTCAGTATCTCTCTGTTGTCAGATTTGGGCCTCAGGAGCTGGAGGAACCCACAACCCTCCTTCTGACCTGGTGTGGAAGACCCAGAACTCATGGGGCAGTGGAGATCTGTTCCAGACTACCCTCGTCAGCGCCAGTGGGGAGGTGGGATCATGTTAAACAAACCAACCAGCTTTTTGTATTTGATTCGAGGTCGCTAAGTGACTAATTTGCTTTTCTCAATTTTCCAGGAAATGGCCATGAGGAAGGTCACACGCACTCTATTCCAGGATGAGGAAGATGAAGAGATGGTACAGTCACTAGCACATCTCAGTTGATATAGTAATCTCATTATTATTTTAGCATTATTTTAGTTTTGCCAGGTTTAAATGAAAACATGAGTTCTTAGGACAATGTAAGTGCACAACAGTGTCTCAATTGACACGTATGCATATTGGATGAAGTTAAGCTACAGTCATATAATCAAAGTCTACAAGTGAAGTCAAACTAAATCTTTAACATGACTTTTTGCCTTAGCCTGACTGAAATCAAACCTTTAAAAGTGCATGTAAACGCATCTTTCTCACAATATGTGCTGTATATTGTTTACACTTTTGTTAATGGGTTGTTTGGGTGTAGCCTTCCAGTGAATCATAGCACTAAAATGAACTGAGAGAGCAGCCGTACTTCATCTATAATAAGATCCAGTACCCGTCTCTGTCTCAGTGTCCTCTGATATTCTCCACTCACTGTCTCCACCTGCAGGCCGCCCATAGCACATGCGGGGATAGTGAGTACAACCTCCGCAGCCGTACGGTGCTCTGTGGCTCGTGCGGGCAGCCGTCAGATAGAAACAGCACCTGTGTTTCGGCCAGCTCGGGAGTGTCCAGTGCGTCCCGCTCGTTCACCAGTGGAGGGGGGCTGCCCGAAGCTTTTGTGTCACCCTCACACTTCATCGTGAGCAATGGCCAACCCAGACAGGTTTGTGTTTTTTTCTTCTTCAGTTGCAACAGTATTTTATTTTATTTTCTCTCTTTCTGTCTGTCTTTATTTTTGAAAGATTTTATACATTTTATATAATAAAAAAAAGTTTTAAAATATATATCATTTTTAGATTTTTAAAACGTTTTTTTTTTGTTAATGCTTTTAGTCTTACAACATCCTCAAATGATCATTTAATGTTTTGTGATGAATTTTATTATTAATATACTGCTGTAGTTCATTTAATATGAATGTAAAACAAAAGCATAATAAATTGTTTACAGCAGTCTTATTATATTTACATTAATTTCCTTCTCTCTCTCTCTCTCTCTCACTCACTCACTCACTCACTCACTCACTCACTCACTCACTCACTCACTCTCAGGCTGGACCCAAACTTGACAACTGCTCCATTATGTAGAAGAGCTGAGCTGTAGCCACCTGTCCTTTAACACAACCCAGGAGGAATTCATCCCACAACTAGTTTCTTTTTTGGATTACATGTCTTATTACATTATATATTTTGTACTTCAGTCTTTCTTGTTTTGTATTTCATAATCTGCAGGATAGATTTTTGGCTTTTGTATGGCATAAGGCTTTATATGCTGGCAGCTTGTAGGCTGTAGTTTGCGATTATTATTATTATGTACAGTGTGTTACTCTTATATATTTGCATGGTGGCCCGGCAGCAGCTTCAGATTCAGAATAATCGTACTGTACTCAGGGAGAGAGGCGAACAGAGCACTTCACACTCACACCATGAGCTCTCCACAAGAATGCTGTCAGAACGCAACACGCACACTCAATAAACCCTCTCGATCATGTGGCAAAACTCTCATGTAGAGTACTGGACTATAGCTGTAGCGCAGGCTGGTTCTTTAGCTCACATTCAAGGATGAGTAAACATACAGTGAGCGTCTGTTAACGTAAGATCAGGAAATTAGAGATTTCATTTTTACATTGTCCCAAAAGTTATTTGTCAGTAGGTGTTATGGTATTTTTCATGCTACCTCTCGCAGTCAGATGGACAAAATGATGTGCACCTACCAAAGGGAAAAGACAGTCAGAAATTCTATGCAGTTTTGTTACAGTGAGACTCCAGGATATAAAATACAGATGCTCTGGATGTAAAACTGCTTTGTACCTTGATACAATTGCTTGCACAACTGAATAGGTACTTTGTGTCTTTTGGCAGTGCACCTACAAGCTCGGACTAGACTGCAGTATGTTGTGTCTTGTGTAATAAGTGTTTATGGGATGTTTCTGAAAGACTTGAAGCAACTGTAAAACCAATCCAAAGAAAATCACCTTAGCAGTTTGCATTTGCCAAGACGTTTGTCAACATTTTAAACAAAAGCTAATTCATTGTTTTAGAGGGAAAACTTTTGAAGTCTACTTGCGGAGATAGACATCTGATGTGTTATGTTACCAGAGAATCATGTTGTGTTTAAAGTATTGAGTACTAAATGATTGCATGCAGCATTTAAAGAGATGCATTTTTGTTTTCAGCCTAAGAGGCAGAATATTTAAAATATGCAAAATGACCGCCGTCATTCCCAGCTTTAATGTCCTTTTTTACGGTGGTACTTGAAATGTTTGAGTTTTATCATGTACACTAAAACATTTGTGTTTCTCTATGGAATTGAGTGTTGCTTTGCTCTTGTCACTGCTCTCTTACACTAGATGATACAGTTCCTCACCTGGACAGCTGTAAGGCTCCAGTAATCTGAGCAGTCTTTTCCTTCACTGCACAGATGTCCAGTCCGTTTAGGGCAATCTGAGAACGAAAGACCAGATTGACAAAAATTGGTTTCAAAAAGCTGGAATAGCTTTCATCATAGGAAATTAGAAACATAACCGAGCCAACGTACAGCTTTCCAGAAAGAGGACTGGATATTGCTGACATTAAACTTTTATTTTATTGCTTAACAAAGCTTTGGGTTTCTAAAAGAATATTTTGGGATAGTATATCTATTTTTTTCTATATATATATACATATACTTACAAATTGTGGTTTTCTATTGCTTAAACAGCCATTAGCGTTATTGTAATAAGCCATATCTTTTGATTTTTTTGAAACTGATAATGGATTGAGGGATTTCAATGGACAGGGTGTTTCCAATTCTAGAGTTTTCTGTTAGTATACATTTGTATCATCAGACAAAAAGATTAAAAAAAAATCTTTATTTTCTTTATTTTGAATTAGTTTTTTTTTTTAGTTAGATGGCTAATTTCATGAAGGTTTTGTAAAAAAAAAAAAAAAAAAAAAAAAAAGTTTAAACATACTGCAGGGCAATGCAGGGAATGTTTTTTTTTTTTGTCTTTATAAATATAATTTACTGTTTTGTGAGGAATTTCCTTTCCTATAACAAGAGCCTTGTTATAAACGGTGCCTTAAAATGTTTCAGTTAAAACAAATAAAACCATTCTGAAGCCATTTTCTGACTTTTGTTTTTATTACCATAAAAGTTAAACATGGATAGAATTTTAATAAGTCTGATTGAATATATTGGTTAGTAAAGGGTTACATGTTTAGGCCATTATCTACCACATATGTCTTGAATTAAATTCTGGCAAGTGTTGATGGGATGCATACTACTCACCAAAGACTTAGACGATACCCAGAAACAAAAATTCTACTCATCCTTCCTAGTCCAGTCCTTGGAGGCTTGTATGTCCTCAGCAATTAAAACCAGAGTAATTTTGAAAAAAATACTTTGCATAATAAAATATCTTTATATTAACTGGCTTTCTATTAATGCAATACACTGAATGATAGCTGTCTGTGGTCTCTCAGTGGTTTGCATTATTGGCAGTTTAGTGATAAATTTACACTGTAAATTTTACAGCAAAACAAAAGATAACATGCTTTCATGTCAGAAAACATTATTTTTGTCTTACATTTCATAATAAACTCACACAAGTCAAGCTCAGTACCAACTCATTTCCCATCAGTTTATTTTCGTGAATTGGAATGTGTGCAAAGGATTGTGGGTGATTTAAGGCCGTGAAAGATACATCCGATGCATCCTTCAAAACATGCCGGATGAAGGACGAACATACGAAGCCTAGCTTCCAAGGATCCTTCAAATTGAGATGGCCTTCAGCGACATGACGTGGCAGCCGAGATTTGCAGCCTTCCGTTTCAGAAACATGGATTTAGGGGTCAGTGTTTGGTGTAGTAGGCAATCAGTACTGTGATTGACATGACCAATAAAATCATAAGAATTTGCTGCAGGGTTTCCGCTGAACTGGAGTCGGTACAAATTTTTTCTTTAAGACTGTTCGTAGCTTTTTAAAATCAGTTGCATAAAACCGTAGATTAGGATAATTTGATGCCGAAAACTAAGACTGACTGCCCCTGACTAACTGCTAGTGGGTCATACTAGAACATAAGACACTTAACATAATGGCTATGCTTATACTCTTTGCCAGACTAACTTTCAGAGCAAATCTAAATTTGCCAGAAGTTGTCTGGGTTTTCCCAGGCTAACAGATATGCCTAATAAATTACATGACAAGTTGTGCATGGAAACTTCGATTTTATTTACACTATTTACAGTTCTTGTGGTTGAATTCAACTGACATTCATAGAAAATGTTCCCAACACTGTAAACTTATGGAAAGTTGTTCTGTAGCTGTTCAAAATTATATTGTCATTTACACCCTGATTTCCAGATTAGATAAGACACATGAATAGCATTTTAAAAACAGATATTGATATTGAGCATTTAACCTATTAATGTCCAGATATTTCCTAGAAAGTCTTAATGTGAACATCTTTTTATATGATCATATGTGTAGTTCTTTTGCTGTTTTTTAACATAAGACGGACAAAGAAATTCCTACGAGTCACCATATGGCATCCAGTATGCCAGTAGTTTAGCCACCGGGAAATATTGTCAGATGGAAAAAGAGTGATACAGTCTTTGGCAACATTGTTTTCTACAGCCAGGCTTGAATGAGTTAAGTGCCTTTAAAGAAGATATTTTCTCCATGGACATTCAGTTGTTAGTGTTGTCCAGTAGATGGCACTGTTGCACAGCTTTGGTCACATCCATCCATTCATCTGTGGTGGGCAGTTTTTGTATTTCATTATCCAGCTTGTAACGCAGACATAAAGCTTAATCTGTCTTTGGCAGTGATTTTAGAGAAACAAAGTCTTCAAGTTATTTTCAAGGCGATCAACGGGGCAGTCTCCGTGGCGATGGGGAGGGTGGTCTTCGCACTGGTGGCAGATCATAATGCCCGGGAATGTGGCTGTTGATGGGCAGATCATAATGATTCTGAAGTTCCTGTTCCACAACGTTGCCAAGGGAACAATGTTCTGTAATATAGTGAACAAACACATTTCACACCAGATGTGATACATGACACATCAAGAAAAAAAAAGCCACGTTGTTCTCGTGTACCCATATGGCAAAATATGCAAACATTTCGAAACAATATTGTTAATATATATTTAAAAATATATTTGCATTTAATTTGAGACATTTTAGTTACCTGTATTTCCTCACATATTTTGACCATCTGCTATAAATTTTCAATTTAGACAGTCCAATTTATATTTAGCCAAAAATACATTTTAAGACTGGGAATGTATTTCCGTGCCCCTTAAAGTACATTTTTGGCAAAGTTTAAACAAAATATATCTTCAATTTGAAAAATAAAATTCCCAGCTGTGCTGTCTACAGCATATATTGGAATATCAAATTGGAATAGCGTAACATCATAATGTACATTATAATGTTACGATGCCTAAATTCACTTGTAGCATTACAATGATTGATTTTATGAGTTTATTTTATTTTATTTAAACAAAATAGTATAGGGTTTTTTATCGGGTTTATTTAAGCCATTTATCGGTTATTAGCCATAACATTAAAATTATTTTTGTCTTATCATGCATCCCTAAATCCCACCATATAATATATCCCCCTACTATATCCCCCCCCTACTATATCTATGTATATACACTCACCGGCCACTTTATTAGGTACACCTGTCCAACTGCTCGTTAACACTTAATTTCTAAGCAGCCAATCACATGGCGGCAACTCAGTGCATTTAGGCATGTAGACATGGTCAAGACAATCTCCTGCAGTTCAAACCGAGCATCAGTATGGGGAAGAAAGGTGATTTGAGTGACTTTGAACGTGGCATGATTGTTGGTGCCAGAAGGGCTGGTCTGAGTATTTCAGAAACTGCTAATCTACTGGGATTTTCACGCACAACCATCTCTAGGGTTTACAGAGAATGGTCCGAAAAAGAAAAAACATCCAGTGAGCGGCAGTTCTGTGGGCGGAAATGCCTTGTTGATGCCAGAGGTCAGAGGAGAATGGCCAGACTGGTTTGAGCTGATAGAAGGGTAACAGTGACTGAAATAACCACTCGTTACAACCGAGGTATGCAGCAAAGCATTTGTGAAGCCACAACACGCACAACCTTGAGGCGGATGGGCTACAACAGCAGAAGACTCCACCGGGTACCACTCATCTCCACTACAAATAGGAAAAAGAGGCTACAATTTGCAAGAGCTCACCAAAATTGAACAGTTGAAGACTGGAAAAATGTTGCCTGGTCTGATGAGTCTCGATTTCTGTTGAGACATTCAGATGTTAGAGTCAGAATTTGGCGTAAACAGAATGAGAACATGGAACCATCATGCCTTGTTACCACTGTGCAGGCTGGTGGTGGTGGTGTAATGGTGTGGGGGATGTTTTCCTGGCACACTTTAGGCCCCTTAGTGCCAATTGGGCATCGTTTAAATGCCACGGCCTACCTGAGCATTGTTTCTGACCATGTCCATCCCTTTATGGCCACCATTTACCCATCCTCTGATGGCTACTTCCACCATGTCACAAAGCTCTAATCATTTCAAATTGGTTTCTTGAACATGACAATGAGTTCACTGTACTAAAATGGCCTCCACAGTCACCAGATCTCAACCCAATAGAGCATCTTTGGGATGTGGTGGAACGGGAGATTCGCATCATGGATGTGCAGCCGACAAATCTGCGGCAACTGTGTGATGCCATCATGTCAATATGGACCAAACTCCCTGAGGAATGCTTCCAGCACCTTGTTGAATCTATGCCATGAAGAATTGAGGCAGTTCTGAAGGCAAAAGGGGGTCCAACCCGTTACTAGCATGGGGTACCTAATAAAGTGGCCGGTGAGTGTATAGTATATATGACCCCCCCGTATGGGTACTGTCAACACTCTCTTCAGAACAGATATAGTAATATCCAGTTTCTTTTAATAAAAATAAATACCTCTGCATGACAGAGTGGAGGGAGCCATGACGGGTGGACTGATTTCAGTGTAGGATCTTTCACGAGACACTGCAGACTTCATCTCCATGTAGCTGCTCTCTGGAGGACATGGTGGCAGGCCGGGCAGATCTTTGATGGTGGCATACGGGTTCTCACTGTTCAGAGAGCTGCTGCTCACTGCCACACAGGAATCTTTCAACTCTGCAACCACAACAGGGTGTTAGACACAATTAAACAAGATTTATAGAAGAAGAAGAACATCTGAGTGACTTTTACCTTTGTTGTAGTGCTTCCCAAGTGTAGCACTATAGCTGTAACTTCGATCAATCCCAAAAGCCCCTGAAAACACAATAAGACCACATCCAATTTACTCAGACAGCTGCACAACACAAAACAAACTCAAACTATAGTGCAAGAATACGGGGAAATTGTTTCCCAGTATCCATTACCTGGATCTTTGGGTGGCTCCTGGTGTTTCCAGCCTGGAGGAAGAGTAGCATTAGTCTCAGCCGCAAACAGACCTCTCCTCTCCCTCTCCATGTTCTTCAGACTGCAGAACAGCTGGTTGTTGGTGTTCTGTCAAAGCATGAAACACAAATGAAGGTCATTCCTGTTATATGTGCAAAATCCAGCTTTCATATACTGTACTTCATAATAAGAAAACAAAATATTTTGCTTTGCTCCAAAAACAGACAATGATTGCTAAAAATTTCTGTTACACATGTAATCAATTAATATACATGCTGCGCTACAGCGCACTACTGCTGACATAATTATGGCATAATTATTACTTTTAATCTCATTATGACTGTCATAACTTTGACTTTTTATCTCATAATTTCAATTTAGTATCTCATAATTTCGACTTTTTATCTCATGATGATGACTATGTATCCTATCATTATCATCTACCAAAGCATGATTCTTTCTTGAGGAAATGGACTTCCATGAATTCTGTTTAAAAATGTATACCCGTTCTGGTTCATTCATCACATTGCAAATCAAGTGGACTGCATTCTGAGATACAGCGTTGTATACTGAACATTTTAGTGTTACGCTTATGTATTATTTTAGCAGACTTGCTGTACAAATGAAAAACATAACAGGCAATTTGTCACAGAGCCAGCAATATTCATAGTATAGATAGTTTATTCAGAACATA